AAAAAGTCAGAATTCTGACTTTTTCCCCATACTATACTGAAATAAAATAAAAAAATCAGTTAATCCTCTTCCGTATCATGGAGCAATAGGAATAGTGTTGCTAACATTCATGCAGACCAATGTAGATGCATCTTTTGCTCCACACTTAAGTGGAAAGCCTGCCATAAGGAGTGAAGAGAATGTGATTAAAATAGAATACAATCCATAAAACTCAATCTGGAAAATTGAAATAAAAAAAGGAAAATCGTTTCTGTGATAAAAGGTATATCTGACTAAATAAAATCAAAATATAAATAAATATAAATAAAAAATACTGAATACACTAAAACTGTAAAACAATTTTCGAAAATGAAAATATAAAAACTTTAAAAAAAATTGTAAAAACTAAATCTGAAAAAAACAACAACACAGAAGTTACCCTCAAAATCTTTTTTAATAACAAAAAAAAAAAGGAAGATGTTTTTTAAAGTAAAATTTTTGGGTTATTTCTCTTAGATTTCATTTTTTTTTTTTAAATCTCTATTTACAAAATGTGTTCTTTGCTAAAACCAATAATGGAACAAAATTCTATTTTACCCTCCAACCTCACTTCATTTAGCCACTACCCTCTTTCCACTTGCATTTTTTTTTTTTTTTTGATGCAAGGCCTTTCAGAATCTATAACACAGAGGCATTTTTATTTTTTATTGAATGAGGTTTTCATAGGCCTAGGTGGAGGATGACTTTGCTACTTCTGTTATTTGCTGTTGTTTGTTAAATGAAATGAACAACGATGAAAAAAAAAAATAACGGAACAAAATTCACTCCATAGGGAGTGGAGTTCTTGCATATTTCCATGTACCATTGAGCAGAGTTAGTACAGATACACTCTGGACATGCCAGCAGTCCTTCACAGGGAAATGCAAATACACATATAGAACAAACATAGGTAAGGGCAATTTAAAGACCAGTTAACCTAACAGTCATGTTTTGGTTATGTTGCTTTGAAAGGCAACATAACCAATAGCTCCATAGTGTAGCCCAAAGGTGAACCGGGTTTCTTGGTGTGACAAAAAAAAAAAAAAAAAATTATATACGTAAGCCTCTAAAAAAACGCAGGCATTTTCTCTTTTTTAAATGGTGTATTGTTTATAAAAAATCTGTCAGAGCCTTGTAAACATAGTCTAAAGAATAAATACAAAGGCAGAGGAAAAGTGGCAGAAATTGAAATCAAACAAAGAATGATGGAAAAGTGGCTTTTGGACATTGAGAAGCAAGGCTGATGGCAACAGAGGATGTAGGGGGAAAAAAGGAGATAAAGGAAAGATAAAGGAACCCAGATACTAACAGATTGTGAGCTTGGGTTGAATGAAGATGGAGGAAGTGGATGAACACTTCCTCCCAGTTTACTGTGTTACAGCAAACAGTGTTACAGTTTACCGTAACACAGAAACATGGAAAAATTAGAACCAAACATGTGAGTAAGGAAAACAACAAGAAAAAGGTGAGAAAGAAGCATAGAAACAGAAATAACAGAATATAAAAGAACCATGAAGCTTAGAGTAGGAGCTGCAGCTGCTTGGAGGGAAACATTAGTGAAGAGGACAGCTCATATAAGGCTACGAAAGATCCAAAGGTCAATACAGAAAGATATCTGTAGTGGGAGAAAATATTAAACTATTCACCCCAGTTAAATAAAAAGAGATAGATCGATTTCACTCAGTCGGCACTTTATTTTCATATTTTTACAAAGAGAGAACTGTTCATCATACGGCCTGTACTGCTTGGTATTCAGCCCTGTTCTGCCTGGGCAGAGTGTGTTTCCTCTACTTACAATAATGGAAAGCAGTCAGAGTCAAAACAAATTACAGACACTTAAACAGTAACATGTTATGAATAATTCTTGAAAAAGAAACTGGCTTGTTTTGGGAAGAAGCAATGTCTGGTCTACAAACACACACATGATTGGGAATTGTGTGTATAGTGAGTAAATAGTAG